ATGCTCCAATCCAATGACTCATCTTGATGATGGTCCATTAAATAATCTTCCACCCATGCATTCTCTACCCATTGCACGAGCCAGTCTCACTGGCGAGAAAGTCAATCATGCTGCCCACGGTTAACTGCCGGCACTGGCGACCTGGCCCGCCAGCCACACTGGCACGTGTCTATGAACATGCTCTGATACGGAATTGCAAGGAACCATGTAAGGAGAGCACCAATTTTCCAGAAGCACGATTGAGCCGATGTGAAACCAGAATACCAAAGCCGAGTTCACACCAATAAGAAGCAAACAAATGCTGAAGTCCCTTTGATAAAAAAAGTCGGGCTTCTCGTCTCTATTCATAAATGCAAAAACAATGTAGTAGCCCTACTGGGGCTACTCTACGTCCTACTACCTCTATACACGCCAGCCTTAAAGAAGCAAACAAATGCTGAAGTCCCTTTGATAAAGAAAGTCGGGCTTCTCATCTCTATTCATAAATGCAAAAACAATGTAGTAGCCCTACTGGGGCTACTCTACGTCTTACTACCTCTATACATTTACCACCTCACTCTCTGCCCACGTGTCACTCGCTTGATGCTGCTTGAAGGCTCTGCTCACACAGCCTGAGGCTTCCACTGCCAACACCAGGTAAGAACCACCAGTCCCCACTGCCTTCCTTCTTCCCCATCTCTCGACACTCCGCCACTCTGCTTCCGTCAGCCAGCCATATGTTACATGCTGCGCCTGCATACGGGCCCCATTTCAGGGGCCCGACGGTTGCTGAGGGCCCCCCAGGCCGCGTGCCCATCAGACACGTGCCCTGGAGGCCCACGGCGGCCCTTAGGCCGCAGGTATGGATTTGCGACATCATTCATTTATTTATTGCTGTCCTATTTTTGTCTGTTCAGACGTCGTTTCGGACTTGCAGTGCCCAAGGCTACGCCTTGGGCTGGGTACACCAGGAGGCAGGGCCGATGGAGGCCAGGCGCGTTTTGGCGCCCTGCTGCATCAGCAGCACGGTCTGGACGGCCGTTAGGGGCCCCAACCGTGCGGGCCGTTTTCAGGCCAATGCAGAGGCACACCCAGCTGGCCCAGCACTACATATAGCTGGGCCGCGGCTGAGCAGACACACAGTTCGAGTAGCTCCCTTCTTGGGCGACACGCTGCTGGACCAGAGCTGCACTAGGAGGTAGAATTAGAGGCGTAGGTAGGCAGAGGGGCGGAGGCCATACCTGCGGCGGCGGACTTACCTGGCGCCATAGCTGGGACTCCGCGCGCCGGCCTGCACACGACGACGACGATGACGGTCAGTCACGGCGGTGGCTACCTGCAGGTGAGACAGCGAGGAGGACGACATCTCCTTCTTCTTCGTCGTCGTCTCGCCCTCCATCTCGTCTCCCTCCTTCCTCCTCCTCCATCTTCTTCTTCTTCTTCTTCTTCTTCTTCTTCTTCTTCTTCTTCTTCTTCTTCTTCAGAGACACAGGGAGAGAGAGAGAGAGAGAGAG